CCCCGCTCTCCCCCCCCCCCCCGCCCCGCCCTTTCTCTCTCCTTCTCTCCCCTCCACCAACTTGCCTGCTGGGCAGTTCTTTACATGCAGCTGGGCTATGTTCCTGGCCATGTGCAGGCTGTGGCTGCTCATCCGTGCCTGTGGCTGTGCATTTGCCACCCCCTGCTGCAGATGTCTGGAGCCCGTGCTGGGCTGCCCTGCAGTCCTCTGCGCTGCCACTGCTGTTCGCTGGGCAGCCCAGGGGCAGTGGAGTGGAGCCCATATGCAGGCTCCAAAACTGTGTGCGACTAACATGTTAAAAAATTAACATAAGAACTGATTAATGTGTTAATTGCACACATTAACTGCAATTCATTGACAGCCCTAATTATTGATATATTATTTGTTTGTGAAACATTTTGCACCATAGTAGACTGTCACATTACAATATGCTTAAACATATTGCTTTATCATAAAAAACAGGAAACGTAGATGAAGGAGTTGAAGAAAAGGACAATGTTTTCCAGGAATCTGACGACATGATGGATGCCATGAGGCTACCAACAACTAGTGATTACTATATTGTATATTCCACTCAGAAAGGTAAGAGAGTTTAGCCCAAATCTGGCTCTGCATGTCCTGCATCAAGATTTTACATCACATCTACAATACTGTATCTGTACCCCTAAATTGTGAATGACAGTGGCTGGGAAATAGCCCCCCGAAAAGACAGAGAGATCTCTATGAGTCCTTCTCATCCAGCCCCTGTTGCAAGTTATATAAACGCTAAGGAATTTTGTCAGTAAAAGTTGGAATTGGCTTACAGCAGCCAGTAGTACTGAGTGCTGCCATAGCACATGCAGTTATGTTGCTTAAAGGCAGCATGTCCATAGTTAGACATCCAGTGGTTTCTATGCCACCATCTGTCCCAGTGTGCTGTGGGAAATTCAGCAGTGCATTGTGGGATGCACTGAGATCCCAGGGAATTGTAGGTGCTTCGAGCCAATCTTATAATATCTTTTTATCCATTCCATCATATAATTTTCCCACAGTTGTTTACCTTCCCCTAGTTTGTACTGTTTTCTCTCCCAAGGCTGAATCCAACTGCTAAAGGGGTTACAGTTATTTTAAACTCCATCCTGAAATCAGTCTATGCCATTCTTTTGTATTTGTCACAGAATTACTCTATTTACAGCTGTGCTATGTATCTTGAAACCAATGTCTATTTACTGACCACTTTTATAAGGACTTTCTCAGCTGTGCTTTGATCCTGGAAAGTTTTGTTAACACAAATTGACTTCCGTCAGCGTAGAAGTTTATTATTATCCATGTATAATTATTGTGCTTCTTTTCTCTATATCTATCCTATATGAAGAGTTATACTGGTATAGGTAAGGTATGAAATTCAACTAACATAACGATATAATACTCGGTGTGAACTCTTAGTGTGGTATAAATGTGCTTTTAAGTTTTGCTTGTGATATTTAGCAGTGCATGTTAACTAAACCAAAAAAGCCAGAAGTTTATGCGGATGTGTGCTTCATACCAATAGAGCTACATTGGGGAACTAGAGATATAGGTGCTTCTGAAAATCCCATTATGTTCCTATTTTAAGTTATGCAATTGCTTAACTGTGCATATGTAAATAGAACACACACTTAGCAGGAAAATGCTACTTTATGCCATTACTTTCTTGTGGAAAATAAAATACACAAATGCAGATCACCAGTCCAACTTGATTGGATGGATAGAGCTGTATTCTGCCAGTTCCTTGCCTCTTTCCTGCATACCCTCTGTGATGTCAAGTTCACTGCAAGAGTTACTGAGCCACAATTCAGATGACATTTACATGGCTGTGGGGAAGCTTTCTCCGTTACCTTTTAAGAAACCAGGCAATAGTTTAAAAAAATTCATAAGCTGCATTTGACAGTTAATATTCATTTAAGAAATAGAATCAAGTTGAAAACTCATTCTCTTTTGCCTGTCTATAGGTTATATTTCTTTGCGTAACAAAATAATTGGATCAAGGATGATTGAAGCAATGAATAAAGTGTTCTCACAGCATGGCATGAAGTGGCACCTAGGGGATTTATTTACAAAGGTAAGTATGTAACAAAACTGTATAAAGAATATATCCACAGGGTAGCTTGCAAAGGAAAACTAATGAGGTGTCTGCTCTTTTTTGCACCGTTTTCATGGGTCCAAATGAGCTGAACAGTGGATATTTGGGCATTTTTCTTCAGCAGCTTATAATCATTTGATAGAAAACACAAGTCATTTAAAGATTCAATACCATGTGCTTTCAATTACACTTTGTAAAAGCTTCCAATATGCCCTTATGCCTGCAACACAAATAGGGAAGACTAAACTTGACATTCCTGATATTTCCAAATCCAAGAAAAAATACACAAAAAATGATATGCCTGCCTTCTGTATGGCAACCATCAATCCTCCTGGATCATGGTGTATGCATGAGGGTCACCCAGACCTTCAATACCTGTGCCTGAGCAGGAATTTTTGGAGGAGTGGAGGCTGCCCAGACCTTCCATCCTCCCTTCCCACCACTGAGACAGAATCCAAAGACCAGACATTTAGTGCCTCCATGGCTGTAGTTGTATAAGTATCTGGGAATCAAACTCATGTCTCTTGTGTGGTAGACAAGGATGCTGCCACTGAACTACAGGGTACTCCTATTTTCTATGTACAAATAAGCAATAACAGACTGAATTAAACACTGGTATTTTAAATTTCCTTTCCTGGTCATCCTTAATTGTTGAATATATTGAGCTTGATGCTTCAAGCTATGCTAGCCTACATCAGCTGAAGATCTCATTCATTAGGGACATTTAAAGTAATAACATTGCTATAACTCTATAGTATTGCTGATCTGCAGCAAGTGAAATTAACTTTTCATGAACTATAAAATAATGTAAATCTACTTAAAACAAGTTGACTCAATCCAAACAGTGACTCAGAGCAGAATTCATGAGTGAGCTGGGTTTATTTGACTATAGGAGCCATGGGTAGCTACAGAATGGTAGGTCTGGTCAAGGCTCACTTGTGCTCAGTTTCATTACCTGTGGCTATTTCATTCTTCCTTTTGAAAAGAATGTACCATGAAGACGACACTAGAAGATGCAGGTTTTATTTCAGTGTCTATTTAATACTGCTCTGAAAATTAAGGGGTTAGAGTTGTCTCAGGGGAGGCAGAGCAAGCAGTCTCATCAAGCCAGAAGGAAAGACACCATCAATCCTGTTCACGAGTTGTTTCTTATTGGTTTCATTGACTTTTGCCCAGTTTTCTAGCAGGAAGGTACCACACTATCTCTGCCTACACTTCTTACACAGCTTCCCTCCCCAGATGGAAATACAAGTATATAACAGGACTTGATGTTTGTATGCCTCGACAGGAGTTTTTGGTCTTGTTGTGTTGACTGAATTCTATGCTTAGTTTATACAGGCTCGGTTCAGACAGACACATACAGGGTGTGTCTTCACATGATATTAGTGTGACATAATACATTCCGACACAGTTTGCACCAGAGTTTATTGCTCCTGGGTGGAGTGTTGCAATGTGCACACAGGACTACAGCATGTTGAGCTGGGTTGGAGTAGCCCCAGCTTGCAGGAGGCTTGGGGGAGGGGTCACCCTACTGGCCTGGAGCTGCTCCAGTACAGCTCAGCATGCTGTAGAGGGGCTGGCTGGGGCACAAGGGTGCTTTAGTGTGGGGGGCTAGCTGGCAGGTAGCCCCCGACACTAAAGCACCTTCATGCCTTAGCCAGTGTCAGTGTCTACATGTGCATTGTGGTGCGCTTAATAGTGCCGCCACAGGACAGTATTTATGTGGACAAGTACTATCCTAGGGCTGTTTATTAGTTTACTGTGGCCTCACATGGCCGTACATATAGACACTGAGACTTTACTGCAAAGCTAATTAGTCAGATCCTCAGTAAAAATCTTGTGTAGATGTGCCCGCATACCACATACCAGATTCTGCCTGTGGATATACCATGTATTGTGTGTAGATTTTGAATTAAGTGAACTTCACTGCTTACCTGTTTTTATTCTTCAGGTAAATAATCTGCTGGTGCAGAGAGATTTCAGCATAGACAGACACATTGTGAAAGTGACAATAGTCATGGAATCCACTTTAACCAAGGCTGTGTACCTTACACCTAGACTGGCTAATATGTAAAAATTCATTGCCTATTGAATAATTTCCGTCTCACCAATTATTGCAAAACTCTTAAAGATGTTCCTTTTAACCAGCTAGTTTTATTGACTTTTAGCAGCTTTCTGATGTGATTGTTCTAATAAAAGTCACAGTTTTAAACACTTTTATAAGAATTTTGGAAAATATACTTTGGGGTATTGACTCTACTTCATTTATACTGTTTATAAATAAAAATAAACCCTACAAGAAGTTGCTTGTTTTCTGAAACTCTTTTGTTTTTTCCAGGTCTCTAGAGAACATTTTTTTTTCTCTGTAGTACTATTTACATCTCCAAAGTACCTAACTCTAATCAGCGGGTGCTTGTAGACATGAGCCATGCCTCCTAATTAGCACATTTCAGCAGCCTTGACATCTTGAGTGTTCAATGTCCCCACACTTCAAAATGGTGGCGCGGATGTTTTAACTAAAGCTTATCAAATGAGCTTTATTTAAAGTGCTCCCACCACCATATTGAAACGCAGGGACGCTGATGCACAAGACACTGTGGGTGCTTTAATTAGAGTGGCTCTTGGAGGGCTCTGGGGGCCAGGCTTAGGAAGGCAGGGCCAAAGGGGGTCTTCTCATCAATCCTCCCTGTCAGCGGTCATGGTCAGCATCACAACACCTGCATCAAAGAAGCCAGCCTGCAGCTCTGGAGTTGGTGTCATTGTGTGGGTTCTGGCTTCTTTGACCACGATCCACACTTCCACAGAAGGGGCATCATGGGATGTGATGGTCTTCATCTCTCTTCGAAAGGTAAGAATCTGTTCTCTTACAGGTTGACTGATCTCCTGTGCAGGGCTTTAAACTAGGTTTGTCGGGGGACAGAGATGCAGACAGAGAGAATCTAGGATCAACAAACCACGAGCCGTGTGCTGGAACAGCCCACATAATTACTAAGGGGCCCGATGGGCATCACGACAGCGGGCCCCTATACTCTATACTAATGCTAGCAACATTGGGACCAAGCAGGAGGAACTTGCACTCCTGCTTGCAAACAAGAACTTCAACTTAGTTGGGCTAACTGAAACTTGGTGGGACCCTACCCATGATTGGGCAGTAAGAATTGAGGGCTATAGGCTGTATAGACATGATAAAGTAGGGAGAAAAGGGCGGGGGGTGTTGCTCTCTGTTAAGGAGCAATATACATCATCCATAATCAAGATGAGACCTGAGGAGGGGCAAATTGAGGTATTGTGGGTCAGAATGCAAGGGAGTCAGGGGGAAAGGGACTTGGTAGTGGGGGTCTACTACAGGCTGCCACATCAGGAGGATGAGTTGGACCTGGAATTCTCCAGACAGCTCTCAGAGGCCGTATGGTCAAGGAACATGGTTGTCATGAGCGATCTAAACTACCCTGACATCTGTTGGGAGGAGCAATCATCTAGATCCAACTGTTCATGTAGGTTCTTAACCTGCAGACAGGACCTTCACCTAACATAAGAGGTATACAGTCCCACTAGGAGAAATGCCTTACTGGATTTGGTGCTGGCTACAGGGGATGACTTGGTGGGGAATCTACTGACACAAGGTAACCTAGTGGACAGTGACCATTACTTGATTGAATTCACCGTCTAGCATAGGGTGGGAAAGATAACCAGTAGGGCAGAAGTGCTAGACTTCAGAAAGGCTAACTTCAGTGTGCTCAGGAGATTAGTTAATGAGGCACTGAAGAACAGGAGCATTGGTGAAATGGGAGTCCAGGAAGGGTGGTTGTTCCTAAAGGGAACAATTCTATAGGCACAGGAGACAACCCCATTGTGCTGGAAAAGGGGCAAAGGGGCCAAGAAACCCTCTAGGCTGAACAGGGAAATCCTAGGGGCAAAAAAAGAGGCATATAGGCTATGGAAGCAGGGGGTAGCTACCAAGGCAGAGTATACCTACTTGGCCCGCACTTGCAGGGAGGCAGTCAGACAGTCCAAAGCAGAAATAGAGCTTAGGCTGGCAAAAAATATTAAAGACAACAAAAAGTTCTTCAGATATCTAGGGAATAAAAGGAAGGCACAGGATAGCACACGATCCCTACAGGACAAATTAGGGCAATTAGTGACAGGTAGGGGGACAAGGCTAAGCTCTTCAATGAGATTTTTGCCTCTGTATTCCTGAACATGGATCCGGACAAATCTCCCAATTGGATCATAGGCACAAAAGGGAAACCAGCCCACCAACTGTTAGCACCGACATTTGCGGGGGTTGGATGTGTGTAAGTCAGCAGGCCCAGATGATCTTCATTCAAGGGCGCTGAAGGAATTGGCCAGTGTCATAGCAGAGCCACTGGCACGGCTGTTTGAGCACTCTTGATGCTCAGGTCAGGTCCCAGAGGACTGGAAAAGGACCAATGTGGTCCCTATTTTCAAGAAGGGGAGGAGGGAGGATCCGGGTAACTATAGACCTGTTAGTCTCAACTATAGACCGGTTAGTTATTCTCAGGAAAATCTTTGAAAAAAATTATTAAGGATCACATTTGTGGGAGTCTAGCAGAAAAAACAATGCTGAAGGTCAGATAGCATGGATTCATAGCAGGTAGATCCTGCCTGACTAACCTTGTTTCTTTTTATGACCAGGTCACAAAATGTCTAGACACAGGAATCAAGGTAGATGCCATCTACTTGGATTTTTCGATACAGTATCTCATCCTGTTCTCACAGATGAAATGAGCGTCTGTGACGTAGATGATTACATGGTCAGGTGGGTGGCAAATTGGCTTGGGGGGGTCCCACCCAGAGAATGGTGCTGGATGGGTTGGTATTGACCTTGAAAGATGTGGGCAGTAAAGTCCCACAAGGCTCAGTCTCTGGACCTGTGCTGTTCAATGTCTTCATCAGTGACTTGGATGAGGGCATGGAAAGCACTCTGTCCAAATTCTCAGATGATACAAAATAATGGGGTAAAGTTAACAGACTAGAGGGTAGAGAATGAATCCAGGTGGATCTAGACAGGTTGGAAAAGTGGGTGGAACAGAATAGGATGCAGTTCACCAAGGACAAGTGCAAAATGCTGTATCTAGGGAGAAGGAATCACCAGCACCCTTACAGGCGGGGGGAGGACTGTCTTAGCAGCAAACAGCAGTGGAAAGGGATCTCGGAGTCATTGTTGACACCAAGATGAACATGAGTCATCAATGTCATGAAGCAAATCAGTAAAGCTAACTGCACCTTATCATTAGCATTAGCAGGTGCATGATGAACAGGTCCAGGGAGGTGATACTTCCCCTCTATGCGGCACTGGTCAGGCCACAGTTGGAGTACTGCATCCAGTTTTGGGTGCCACACTTCAAGAGGGATGTGGACAACCTCAAGAGAGTTCAGAGGAGGGCCACTCGTATGGTTAGAGGCCTGCAAGCAAAGCCCTACATGGAGAGATTGAGGGACCTGAATCTCTTCAGCCTCCACAAGAGAAGGCTGAGAGGTGATCTTGCGGCTGCCTACAAGTTAATTGGGGTGGGGGGTGGGGGCAGCAAGGAATAGGAGATGCTCTGTTTACCAGGGCACCCCTTGGAGTAACTAGGAACAATGACCACAAACTGATGGAGAGCAGATTTAGGTTAGACATCAGAAAGAACTTCTTTACAGTAAGGGTTGCCAGAATCTGCTTTCCCCTACCTTGGGAGTCTAAGAGGAGGCTAGACATGCACCTGGCTGTGGTTGTCTGACCCCAGTGCTCTTCCCTGCCCAGGGCAAGGGGTCGGACTTTATGATCTGCTAAGGTCTCTTCTGACCCAAACATCTATGAATCTATGAAAAGATTCAGATGGTACAGATGGTGAGGTGCATCCTCACATATAACACAACAGACATTTTTCTTCAGGTAAAAAGAAACTGGAAGCTTTACTAATGTGTTATGGGCCTAGGATTGTCTTATTTATTTTAAGATTCTGAAAACAAATAAAATATTATTGGCATGAGTTAAAACCAGTCTGCAAGGCTATGACAGAAGCAACATTACCTGGAGTAGCTACAGAAGAAAAGCCAGCTTGTCTTGATGTTTCACTACCATTAAAACAGAAAAGTCAATTGACTCTTTCACTGCTGCCTGACTAGAAATGCTGTGGCCTATGCCCAGCAATTGATTTTAAACCTTGTATGAGGCAGGAATCGAAGTGGGGTGGAAGTGCACCCCCATCCTGGATCCACCTCTGGCTGCACCTGGGTATCTTGCAGCTAGGCTTAAGGAACAAGCTACTAGAACAAACCTCTGTGGTCTGGCTGGTAGGGTTCTCCTGCCTGGGGCTGGGTTAGAGGCTGCTGAAACAACCAAGCTTCATGGGTCCATTTACACATGTGCTTTACTATGGAGTTGACTAATTAGCTCTACAGTAAAGCATTATCATGTACAGGTGTGCTGGGTATTAAGGCAAAGTAAATTAATGGTCTCTGCTGTAGGATAGTATTATCCAGAACAGTAGTATCCTAGGACAGAGTAATTTACACCTCCACGATGCACTTGTAGATGATGACCAGGCCTGGCTGGGGCATGAGTGTGGTACAATGCCTGCCATCTAACCCTGCACTGTAGCACCCTCATGACCCTGCCAACTCCTCTGCTGCCTGACGCCGCCACGTGGAACTCAGGTCTGAGCCCCAGGACCTCCTGCCAGCCCAAGGCTGCTCTGCCCTGCCTCAAACTGCTGCAGTCCTGAGTGCAGATGCTACACCTGGGAGCAGCAGACTCTGGCATGAACTGGCCGAAGTTTATTATGTTGTGGCAATTGCACGTGTAGATACACCCATTGTTAAGAAACCAGGAAAGGTTGTGGCCATTTCGATAGAGCTTCAGGAGTCCACAAGCAACAGGCACAGGTAGGCATGTGTCCAGTGAATGCTCATGCCTCGCAATGTGGGGGGATTTGGGATAGGCCCACCAGAGCCAGGCTTTCTCTTGCCCCATTGGCATTTGCTGCCTGCAGCTGGATGTAATAATGGCAACAAAAATGGTTCGGGGGCTGGGGCACATGACTTATGAGGCCAGCTTCAAGGAACTGGGCTTACTTAGTCTAGAGAAGAGAAGACAGAGGGGATTTAAAAGCAGCCTTCAACTATCTGAAGCAAGGTTTGAAAGAGGATGGAGCTAGACTGTTCTCAGTGGTGGCAGATGACAGAACAAGGAGCAATGGTCTCCAGTTGCAGCAAGGGAAGTTTAGGTTGGATATTAGGAAGAATTTTCTCACTAGGAGGGTTAGTAAAACACTGGAACGGGATCCCAGAGAGATGGTGGAAGCTCCATCCTTGGAGGTTTATAAGACCCAGCTAGACAAAGACTTCGCTGGAAGGATCTAGCTGGGGCTGGCCTTGCTTTGAGCAAGGAGT